CTAGATGCTTAAAAGAACAGGTCATCCAAAAATTAAAATGTACTCACTATTTACTCACCATCTAAAATTAATGAGATTTTCCCCCTTGTGTTAAAGATAAAAGATATTGAAGAATGTTGGAAATCAGGAGCCATTAACTTCCATAGTAGAAAAAAAACCCACTATGGATGTCAATGGCTGCTGGTTTGCACATTCTATGAAATATCTTTTGCGCTCAGAAGAAAGAAACAGATTTACAATTGGAGGGTGAATAAATGGCAAAATTTAAGTTTGACTGAACTTTCGCTTTAAGAGTGCTCGGATCATTTTTGAGCCAATCGCTAATCACCAATACATTTTAAGTCAATAATTTTCTTTCAGCAGGGATGAATTAAATTGTTCAGAATGCAATTGTACACAATATCATTATAAACTAGGTCTATATCTTCTATTATATAATCCTTAATGACGCTGAAAATCTATATTTTCCAAATGTAAATGAAATGAGAAAATGATCTTTACATTTATTCAAATACAGTTACTTCACAGAACAAATATAACGAATTTCTGATCAAATAAATGCACCTAAGAAACTTTTTACAGAAGATTCACACTCCTACCCTCAGGGCGGAGGTAAAGGAGTGTGAGATGCATGACTGCCAGACTCAAGAACTCTTTTTTTCCCATCGGCTATCATACTTTTAAATGGATAACCAGTGGACATAAACGGTTTCATTTTTTGCAAAGTAGCACACTATATTCTCCATCTTAGTTTGCACTATTAATATGCATACACTCGCACTCAATCTGCTCCGGCCATTATACTGTTGTTTGCACATAACCCAGTTGCACTAGGCACTTTTTTTGCAAATTAAGCAAAAAATGTAACAACTACTATACATCGTTTACGCCTTGTCAGCAAATTAATATCGTCAGTTTGATAGATTAAAAAAAAAACGATTATCGGTCAATTTTAATCGATAGTTGATCAATCGGAAAATCAGGTAAAGCAATGAAATCATATCAAAGCTCAATAAGGGTAACCCTTTGATGCATTGTAAATATAGCTGCAAGCTCAGTGCACCATTATAACACCGTTTTTTTTTTATAATAGGGGATCCCAAGGTGCTCTTTATCAGGCCTCTCCAAATGGCTGGGAAAAAGATAAGGCCTGAGGCGCATGTAAGCCAGCATTCATTCTCTACGCCTGCAGCCTCTTGTGACACAGTCTTGTATGTAATCTCTTGTAGAACATGACCACATCAATGGGGCTCTTTATCCAAAACCCACAGTTATCAGCAAATTAGTCACATCGCTACATGCTAAAAGACAACTTACCCAGGGCCACAGATGAAGATGTGTGTGGAGAAAAACCCACTGTCACGGAGCCTGGGAACTGCAGCATACGGGCTGGTGGATTATTTTCTTAATCTTGCGCCTTTTTATGCAGCAGAGGTGTTTGAAGATGTATTTCGAGTAGATTTGAATTCATTTGTTTTGTAAAAACTAAAAGCAGAGCTGTGTAACATTAGAAATTAAACTGAAAAACAAGAACGCTTGCAATAAAGAACTTAACACTGGAATTAAAAGGTCACACCGTATAGGAAGTTGAACTAATGACAGGAAGTACAATTTAATGAAATGTGATTTGAGGACATGCAAGTGCATCCTGGGAAATGAAGTGTTATTCCTCCTTGGTCAATAAATTATTTCATTCATCTATCCGTCACATTTGATTAGTTCAGTTGTGCAGTAATGTAGGCCTGTAGGTTAATAAAATATATTAAATAAAAATAAATATTGATATATGGCATTTGTAATATCTTTTGGCCAATTTCTCCTTTCTTTAAACTTCAATATAAATAATAAACTTAGAAATCCATATTAGCCTATACAGCTAGGCTACATCCTTTTTCCAGCTGAATTTGAATTTAGGATTTCAGGCATTCCATTCATTTTCTCAGTGGCACGCACGCACGCACACACACACACACACACACACACACACACACAATAAATAAATAAACAAACCACACAGATCAGATAATACACGTCTTCTCATAAGGCCTGTATGAAGCAACTACTATTTATTTCTCAACTAATTAACTCGACTTCCAACAAGTGTGTGATGGGAGAGCAGCACTGACCCGGGATCATGTGGCCAGCTGCAGCCCCAGCGCTGTTTCTGGATCTGTGCGACAACACTACATCAGCAGGCACTCAGCAGATGCTAAGATCTCTCCCCTGAGGAACAGACGCCATGTTCAGCACACCTGGACCACGCTGATGGATCATAATTCTACCCAGATCAGGGGGAACCAACCAGCAAGCCAGCAGAACCAGGTCTTCCCTGTCTGTGTCTGGTCCACCTGCTCAAATGCATGGCAAACGATGTTATATGAATGTTTATGTATGAGTAGGGCCTACTTTAAAATGCATATTAATGTGTGCTTAACCTTTTTATTGAAAATAAAATTAAATAAATCAAGAGTATTGTTGGCTGCTTGTTAAAACTGCTCATTAAAAATAAGCTGAAACAACACAGTTCTTGAGATTTCGTTGAGACAGCTTAATTGTTTTGTGTTCGGTCCACTTAAATTTGTAAAAACTAATAAGTTAACTTTTTTTATACATTTTTGATGTTGTCCCAATACAAGCCGACTGTATTTGTTTACAGTGTGGTTTAAAGAGCGTGTCTATCATGCGTCTTCAAAATAAACGAGAAGAAACTTTCTTATTATGTAATTTCTTATTGTGAATAATAAGCAGAATGCTCAGGGTCACTAATTAATCAGACACCGTTCAGCATTGTTATTCTTTTGTGTCTGCTCGTTTCGAGATGTCCTCGTTTGAAATGGCTTTGTACAGTATGAGAGAGTTGATGAGCATATTCATGAATGTATTTTAATGTGAAGCAATCAGAGATTAATTATTGCAGATGAGAGTTCATTAAGCTCTCACTCAACAGTAATTTGATACCTTATTGACATCAGGTCATTGGCCTACACATGTAGCCAAATAAGGACAGATTCATTAGAGTTTGACACATCTTCAGTGCTTGAGACAAAAATAATATTAAGCAATGCAACGAAAATAGCATTGATGCTTCTGTAAAACAAAACAAATCGGGGAACGGATTTTGAGAAAAGAAATAAACATGAAGTGTACGTAATGAGAAGTCCTAAAAGTTCGCAACAAATGCAATCAAAACAAGTCGTTGACATTGTTAAAAAATAATAAAATGGAGTCAAGAAAGACTGTTTAATTTTAATAAAATTAAACCAGCCAATTTAACTTTCTGCATTTACAAACTGACCATATGGTGCGCGCTTGTATATTTAGCTTTTTTTATTTAATTCAATTAAATTTAATTCATGTTTATTTATATAGTACTTTTACAATGTAAATTGTGTCAAAGTAGCTTAATATAGAAGTTTATAGTAAATTGAAACTGTGTCAGTTCAGTTTTCAGGGTTGAAGTTCAGTTTAGTTCAGTTTAAATTAATTGCAACAAATTTACTTTTTAATTGTGGTTAATGGAAGCTAAACACGACTCTCTTTTTCCCTAAACTTGTAAAGTACAAAATTATTATATCTGTGCAAATTGAATAATATTATTTGTAAATTTGCACAACGAAATCGAAAATTTAAAAAGCCTTTCCCAAAATACCCCCTTCTTTTTTGAGATGCTTTACTACTACTACTACTATTATTATTATTATTATAATTGTGCCAGTTAATCTCAGTTTCCCCATTATTAATTACAATTTCTGTTTCAAACTAGATATTTTTCTGCTCCACGCAAGCGTATGATAATGTAATAATTAAATAATGTGCCAAATGCCCAACAGCTAAAGGCTGTCTTTCCTTATTCACACTCTAAAAAGAAAAGTTATTTTTCAGAAAGAATATTTAACATCAATGAAATATTTCGATAGCACAAATTGTTCTTTACAATTATTTAAAAAAAGAAAAACGTCCCTTATGTTATAAAAAATTTAAGGAAAAAAATAGCACTTTCGAAAACTGAAAGGTTTCATTTAGGACCGAAATAGTTCTCATAATGCATTGGAATCTCCTTTTGTAACTTATTTTATTATTAATTATTATTATTAATTTATTATTATTATTATTGTTGTTGTTGTTATTGTTGTTGTTGTTTCCCAGATGAATAATAGTTTGAAATTATTTCGTTTTTATGAATCCTTATTGGCTAGCCTAATTCTGTAGTTAAGCAATTATCTGAGCATCAAAATCTACACAAAACGAATATGTAAATGACAAATTAAAGTTTTTAAATTAATGTTTATTTTTTCAATTTATCTGCACTGCTTAATGTTGCCTAGAATAGTTAACGATGCATCGCTTCCAATAAGTGATTTATATGGGTTGAGTGACCTGTGGAAAAGGACTGGACATGATGTCCTTCAAAAATACCAGCTCAAAATATTTTCTGATTATACAAGGCTGCACGGCATGCGCATCATCTAACCATATTTTTTCTGTTGGTTTGTTGAGAACAAATCGGTTGAATGATTTCCAATTTCCAAAGAACATGGTGATTTAATCGTGCGAATCAGCTGACATATTGAAGCTGTGACGCGATCAGCTGAAGACCGCCAAAACCCGCTTTCTATTTTCATTATTTCGTCAATATTGCAATATAACCTTTCTCATCGACATTTTTTAGTTGACTGAAATTCAGTAGACTATATTTTAATGTAAGTGCTCAGAGTAATGATTTCTTCGTAATAAAACAATTATGTAAAATATTAAGACAATACCTGAGAAGCTTATTTACTTTCTGAAAAAAAATTAACGAACAATAATACAAATTATTTAATATATATAGCTAATGCTTATGCAAAAGTGAAACAACTTCTTCCCGAAGCAGATTCATAAATTGGGTCACCCAAAACAAACTGCTCAATCATAAGTAACGTTTTATGAATGCCTGAAATCTCAACTGTGATTTATTCACAAAATAGTTATATTTGGATAACAAAAAGGAAAATATCCCATACGTTTAACATTTTATTAAATAAAAGTGCAATACACACGAACCTGCATGGCGCATTTTGCAGGATCCAAAACACTGTTACAAACTTAAAATATCATAAATTAATCATGGGGGAAAATAAAAGAAACATCCTAACATTGGGAGACGAACACTATGCATTATATTACAAATATACGGTTAGGTGTTTGTATTTACACTTGTTAAAGCCAGATAAATCTTTTGACTGAGCCTCAATTTGAGCTGTCGCTCATGTCTTTTGCCATTAGTGTGGTAAATTCTGAAAGGTGTTATATATTTCTATTGTTGTTTATTTTTAAAGATCAAATGGTTGAGGGAACTTACACTCAGAGAAAAAATAAAATAACTCGTGGTGATAAGCACCTACACAAATTAATGATATGAAAAAAATGCAAATCACAAAGCCTTAACCAAAAATTAAACTGAAGCGAAGTGAACGAATTCTGTCATGTTTACTATTCAAAATATTTTACACATAAATATTCACAGTAATATAATTCCTATGCGATACAACTCACGCTGTTAATTTACAAAAAAGTACCGTTGTCTTTATGTTGAAACGTGTCTATAGCAGACACTGATGCACGTTCAGTTCCACCAATAGTGCATATTCCTCTGATCTGCATCCTTCCTCTCAAACCAGAGCTCAAACTTGGTGGGGGAAAAGTAGCCTATATTAATTTTGACACTTCTTGAAGAATCTGACAACCCATTTCCCGTTTCCTTTTTACGAGCTCTCGTTTTCCGACGTGTGAATGATAAGAGCTGTGTTCGGTTTGTGTTTTTTCAGTAACTGTGTAATTTTTTCATCGTCCGAGTTTGGGTCTAAAGGTTTATTGTAGTCGTCGTCGTCGTCTTCATTTTCCGAAGCTCCTTTCAGCCTCTCGGTTTCTGAATCTTGTTTTTTCTTCGCCGAGGCCATTTCAGCCGCGTGCCGTTTTCTCCATTTTGTTCTTCGGTTTTGAAACCACACCTTTACGATTGAAAGCGAGATAAAATTTATTTTAATAAACAGATAAATTATGATTCATTACAAAATTAACAAATAAATAAATAAAATAAACTCAGCATGCCAAATGGACATTACTATAACAGTCTGTTCGGAAATTAAAGTGATTATTCCTGTCTTAACCTGCTGGAAAAATAAATCATTTTGAATCAGCTTTTGAGGAAAAAAAACTTAAATTAAAATTATTTTCATGACTAATCTGGAGAGCTGGAAAAATATTTTAAAATAAACTTTCAAGGAAAAAACAGGGAATTACATTAAACATATTTACAGAAAAAATACGAGCAGGGTTAAGAGGTTTTCAGATCTATAGCCTATTATTGCAATAATTGTAATAAATATTTGCAAAAGAGCATATTGCATTTTCATTTATTCATTCATTTTAAATTATTTTAACGCGTGAAATAGGCTAAATACAATAGTCTGTAATTGAACATTAAAACGAGACTGCTCCTGTAAATAGCCAACAATGATATAGAAAATAAATTAGTAAATAAAAGTCATAAATTAAAGCATTGCAAACTGTTGAAGAAACATATTATGCCGACCCTCCCATGCATCATCCTCCATCATCCCCCGAATTCTCTGACTTGTATGATAGATAGATAGATAGATAGATAGATAGATAGATAGATAGATAGATAGATAGATAGATAGATAGATAGATAGATAGATAGATAGATAGATAGATAGATTTCCTCGTTCCTTCGTCATAAACTATTGGGTGTCTTACCTTGACTTGACTCTCTGTCATTCCTAAAGAGTAGGCTAGTCGGGCTCTTTCAGGGCCGGCTAAATATTTCGTTTGCTCAAATGTTTTTTCCAGTGCAAAAATTTGCTGCCCGGAAAACGTCGGTCGCGTGTGTTTCCTTTTCCCATCTTTGTCGAGCAGAACTGAGTTTTGATCTGTAAAGGAAGACAATCCAAATTAGCTAATGATATTTTCGCATCCTTTAATGGTGATTATGTTTGTTATTATTGTTAATAAGTTATCATTCAGACGCTACAACAAAAAGTGCACTTACGTGGTGAGCACGCAAATCTGGCATCTCTCCAGTGTGGGCTTTGCATAACTCCAGGCCAGAATATCGGGGTTCTGCCGGGAAGCTCTGTCAGGGGTTTGGGATAGCGAGCCACCGCTACAGCCGCGGCACTAGGGCTGAAATAAAGCCCTGGAGGCGGTGGGGGACTCAGGCTGCTGAAACGGGGCAGTCCAGACAAGATTCCTGCGGGAGAACAAGCCACCGAGGGTCGGCTGAGGATGTCGTTTATTCCGTGAGGTGTGGCGATCGCGCACTGCTGGGCTGATGCGAGAGCTGAAAGTCCACTGGAGGTTTTGATCCCCGGGGACGAGACCGGGATCCCACCTGGATTCGGAGAGGTAGCTGTCGGTGAAGTGGAGGATGCTGGTCCAGTGGAAGATAACGGGTAGGCTGGGTAAAGCGGCGTCTTCATCTCGGTCATACTGTGTAAAGCAGCTAAAGGTGGGGTATTGAGTAGGAAAGCGCTTTGGCGAGACCCGTCCATTTGCCCCACCGCTAACATAACCAAGACACAAACTACAACTTTAACTAAATATCGCGCAAGAAGCAGGACAGTGACCCGGGAAAACGTGAAAACAAACGCAGAATACTAAATGAAGAGGAGAAACGAAAAATAAACAAAAGACACCTTGCGATATGGAGCCAAAAAAGTAATTTCTCTAAAAAAATCCCAATCAGTTGTACTGGAGCTTCATACTCATCTCCTCTGGCCAATATCCATTCTGTTCTTTTAGATCTTGCATGATACAACAGAGCGTCGTCCTTTCAAAAGAGTGTTTTTGAAATCTATAAATAAAAAGAGAGTCTTTCTGGGTAGTTCACATGAAGATCTGGGAGATAATAAAACATTTTCATCAACCTGCTGTCTTTTGCTGCAAAAAGTCAAAACTTTGAGAGCGTGCATGGGAAAGTAGAGGGGCTCGGCGCGATCTGATTGGCCGAGGGCGGCAGTGACGCGACTCGTGTCAGCTGAGTGTCTGAACTGAATTTAGGAGTCTGTCCTCATTGGTTCTCATTTGCACATTAAAAGAGCTGCCATCCGACCCACTATTAAATACAAAAAGGGGACAAAATCAATCTAGTCAATTTGAGATCTATTTCTTAAATAAAGGGACATCTGCATGCGTGCCGGTCATGTGAGGCGCTCGGATATCTGATGAGCTGGAAAGTCTCTGCGGACAGGCTTAAACACTCCGCAGATAAATCACGAAACAATCGCACATTCATGAAGCTCGAATAAATACCTAAATCATATTTTACTTCAGCTCCGATATCCAAGTTAAAATTGCTTCCCATCATCTTCTCAGACAATCCTTTCTAGCACTTTTCTGTCAGAGTACTATTATTGGCCTTTTTTGAGTTAATATAAATTAATAATAAATTAAGTCTTAAAGGTTCTGTTTCTATCAATGTATGACTATCTGCAACGGAAATAAACAGTAGCCTGTAACCTAAATTACTGCACAAAAGATAATGAAGCTAATTTGGAGACACTATATTATTTAATAAAATTATGCAAGACAATGAAATAAAAACTATTTTGTGAGATGGTATATCTCTTTCTCGTTTTCTCAACAAAACCACCTGATATGGCCTGATGCAAAATGTAAGTGTTGCAGCATCTAGTGGTAACAGAGTGAAATACCAGATGCTGGGAAATGACAACTGGCCCCGCTTTTCATCACATAAATTGATGTAGGCCTATTTATTTTGGTTAGGATGTACACAAAACCCTCCCTAAATTTTGATTCACTTAGAGCAACAATTATTTTTAGGTCTAAACATTAAAAATATAACAGATAAGTAACATTGCACATATATATGTGTGTGTGTGTGTGTATATATATATATATATATACACATACACACATATATACACACATGTATGTATATATATATATATATATATATATATATTTATATACACACACACACATATATATATATACACACACACACACACACACACACACACATATATATATATATATATATATATATATATATATTACTTGCACTAAATGTGCTTCATATTTTGGTGATATGATAGATTTGATGTGTGAACGTGTGTGCTAAATTACGCAGCTCAATAGGGAAAAAAGCTCAACCCTTTTTTTTTTTTTGCATTACTCGTCGATGGAAATAGTGGTGCTACGTTGCCCTCTATTGGTGATTGCAGCACTGTGCAGTTTAGTAAAAATCCACAATATGAGGGGTTCCCAAACCTTTCAGCCCACGAGGCCACGACCCCCAAAATAACAAGGCCAGTGGCTTGTGACCCCGGCATTCCTCGGAGGCATAAATGTACAAATATAGCATACACAGCAATATGCCTATATAAACACAAGCATATTGACAACACAAAAAAGTGTAACAGACTAACAACGAGGCTATAATTTATATAGTCATTTAATTCAATATTACCCTCACCTAATGAGACTGGTGGGCACAATGTTTTCAGCACAAGTCTATTCTTGGTTTAATTTTGAAGACCGCCACTCAGAAATCATTGGCAATATTCAGTTGTGACCTGCATTTATTTTAATGTATGATTGCCATAAAGGTGTCAAAGTTTAAACCGGTGCTGTAAGATCAGTTTGCTGCAGCTGACGCTATTGCTGTGGTTAATTTAACAAACACACATGTTGTTGCTTTTTAATGTAACTATTAACTACTATTTTTATCTTCTGTGGGTTATGGATAAAATACTGTAACTCAAAGTATAAAACTTCTTTGACTTTTGAAAATCACCAAGCGACCCCTTAATTGTTCGCCGGCACCCACTTTATGAACCACTGTACTACAAAATGATAATAGGAAATGCTAAATATTCAGGTTTTGGAAATTATTAAACGTGAAATCCCTTTACACTATAGTTGTGTTAAGCAGAACACATTTGCTTTCTGTCAGCTACGCATATTTCTTGAAATAGAAAGTTTCACTTTCAAATGAAAAATTGATACTTTGTTTTCAGATCTTTATAGAAGAAAAAATGTACTCTCTCTTATATGTGAAAAATCCAGCAAAAACAGAAAGACAAGCCTTAATATTGTCCATAGCTCTTGGAGTAGAAATACATTTCTCATGTGTAGTTTGATTTACAGATTGTCTGGCTCAAGTTTTTTGATCTGAAAGAAACTCCTCTACTAAATGACTAAAAAGCAACTTTAACCATAAATCTGACTTGAACAAATTAACTACATGGTCAAAAATAAATTCTTTTAACCAAAGAAAACAAATGAAGATCTTTGAGTGTCCTCTAAATCTTAAGAAAACAGTATCACCAATAAATACAGCAAAAACATTTTTCCTTTAACAAGGTATTCAAATTACAGGCCAATGGAATCCAGGACGTGATTGTGTTCTGAATGTTGTTTTGCACATTAGTTTATATTTATTGAGATATTTCTGTTATACAAACAGTAATATACCTGAACTGTTAAGTCATATTTTTAAAAGCAAGGGCTTTTAATAGCCATCACACTTTTAACAGCAGTAATAACAAAGGCTGCAGATCTGGATAATCTCTTCCAATTGTGACTATCCATATTTTTTACATCATCTTTTAAAAGCAACTCCTATCTGATTGTCAGCATTTACACAGCACACTGCAAAGGCACAATGGCCAGGGGGGAAAAAAAAAAGCAGGCACTGACTATCAGCTGATAATAAATGAGCACCCTTTTCTCTGTTCCTGTATTTAATCTGTTCGGGTTTTTTTTTTTTTATTCTATTGGTCATCTTTTAATTTAGGCCTTTTAAACCAGTTGGCATTTTAATGTAATGTCCATGGTGTAACTTTTTGCACGATGTGTGCAATGGTTTTATATTAGTTTATATTGGTTACGTGGCGGATATTGCGATCCCTCTCACCCTCATTAATTGTGCTACATGATGTTATACAATATAAAAGCTTTTTTAGTCCTCGTGTATGATATTTAAAGTTTGCAACTCTGGTTTTTAAATGATGCTCGGCTCACACTGGCAGGTAAAAATCCGATCTACCTGCTTAAACTGCAGATAGGAGGGCACATCAGATTACTATCGGATAAACTTCCACATATTAACAAGTCCTGAATCTGATTTGAGTAAATCGGAATCCATGTAATTTTTTCCTGCTTACATGTACATGGGCTTTATCCGATCTGTGCCACATGGAAGAAAAAAAAATAAATCGAGAGTTGATTTACTTGAACAATGCAGTGAGAATGCAGCCTAATTAAAAAAAAAAGACTGAGTCATGGTGTAGTACGAATGTTGGACTTTATTTACATTTACTCCCGAGCCATAAGCTTCTGCTTCTTCAGTTTCTTCTGAGAAACCTGCAGAAAGACAGAAAATGAATGATTACCGTGCATTCACCAACAGCAGATCCTAATGTAAGAGTCATTTACACAAATGCACCCAACACACAACAGCTGCTCAGAAACTCGTCTCTTCATTAATTCAGAGGTGTCCTAAGTGGTGGTCATCATTACAGCCATGTGTACTGCACTCATGAGGAATATTCCTCATCATACCTTTTTCTTCTGAGAAACTTCCTCCTCAGGTTTGGGAACGATCTGCTCCTTCTCGGTGAGGATCATCTCGATATGGCAAGGGGAGCTCATGTAGGGGTTGATGCGTCCGTGAGCGCGGTAGGTACGTCGCCGCATCTTTGGGGCCTTGTTTACCTGGATGTGCTCGATCACCAGAGAGTCCACATCCAAACCCTATAAATAAATGCAACAACAGGAGATTAAATACAGCCAAGCCAGGATGACCGTAGGAGGAGGAGAAAAAAGAAAAAAGTCAAACTCATAATTGTAAAAAGTCTATTGTAATTTGAAATGTAGACTTATCCAGCGTAAATGTTCATACCTTGAGCTCAGCATTGCTTTCTGCGTTCTTCAGCATGTGCAGGAGGAACTCTGCGCTCTTCTTAGGCCAGCGTCCCTGTGTCCAATCATGCTGCTTAGCCTAAAAATTCAGATGAACAAGGTTAACCAAGTTCTTTATTCAACTTTGACATTATGCTACAACAGTCCAAAAGCTTTTTTTTCCTTAAAAAAAAAAAAAAAAGTATTTAACAAAGATGTAGTAAAACGATCAGATTTCATAATATATACGAATATATTATATATATCTAGTTTCACATTCAAAGCATGCGATTTATTTTCCAAACAACTTTTATAATGCAATTAAAACAAATTTAGACCCTACAGGAAATGTTCTACCAAATATTCCGCCACTGTTGGGTTACTTTATAGTTCATAAAAAAAAATTTAAAATTTAACAATTTCTTAAATTAAATTAAATTAAATTCTTACGTTTCAAAAAAAATTAAATTACTTGACTCAACACTAAATATCCCTATAGACCAGGGGTCACCAGTTTTGTTTTTGGAAGTCCAGTGCCCTGCAGGGTTTAGCTCCAACTTGCCTCAACACACCTGCCTTGGTGTTTCAAGTATACCTAGTAAGGCCTTGATTGGCTTGTTCAGGTGTTCGATTATGGTTGGAGCTAAAATCTGCAGGACACCGGAACTCCAGGAACAAGTTTGATGATCCCTGCTATAGACCATTTTAAGGGATGTAAACAAAAACAATTGTCCCAGCGCATTTCCTGTTTTACATTTTTTTTATTTCTATAGCTTCCGAGAATCCACCGAGCCACATATTGGTAAATTATGTTATTATGGCTGTTTTGAATTGAGTTATGATTGAATTGCCTCGTTACAGTTATGAAACGGTTTGATAACAAGCAGGATGTGTTCATAGGCCAATGACATGACCACATTGAAATGGTCAAGAAATCTCACAAACAACATTTAATCCTTAAATTTTTAGGTAAACTAAAGAAGTTTACTAGAAAACAAAAAATTTCAAATTAATGAGACCATATTTCATGCACAAACATTCCTCTGCCTGCCTGAATGAATTTATCAATAACGGCTGAATATGTACATTATGGTACATACGGCAAAGACTTACAAAAAGTTACTTAAAGATTGCATTAATCAGTGGATAAGTCATTTAACTCTAGTAACTGGTAACTTTGTAATCAGTGTAGGGTAGTTGTACCTTTTTAAAATAGTAACTAAATGTGTTACTTTAGGGAAAGTAATGTGAATGTTGTTATTAGTGGGTTTTCTTTAAGATTGGCTTAAAATTGCAATATTGCTTATAAAGTAACCTTACCCAACACTACACCAAACATTGTTCCCATACTACACTCATTACAGATGCATCTTACATTAACTTGGGTAGTTTATCATTAAATGTTTTAGTGAAAGTCCCTGCAAACTTTCATTTTACTGTTGTGAATATCGGATTTAATATATGGATTTCAAAGACTTCTAGTGGAGTGTAAATAACTAAAAAATTGGTGTATAATGTCTCTGAAAAAATCCATTGACTGAATAACCCGTTTCTTTAGAACATTCAGTTCAGGTTTTCAGCTAGTTCTACCGTTTATACAATTTGACTTCAGAGGTTTAAGTGATCACAAATTGATCATTCAAGACTTTCCTACTATCCCTCAAATTTTTAATAATGTGTAAGACAATCCTTAACACAATTACTAACAGTTTCAACAATCTCCTTGTTTTCTTGGCTAGTGTTATGCCAATATTTGGCCCTCGAAGCAGATTAACATCTTTCCCATGACCACAGGATGTGTCGCACGACATGGTTTAAGAAATGAGAAGGTACTCTGCATCAGTTAGGATTAAATAACTTGTTACCAGCTGAAACAGTCATCCATGCTGTAATTATGGATGCACTATAAGACTTTTGAAAGCGCTGTAAGACTTTAGAAAATCAGTCACAATATATATATATATATATATATATATATATATATATATATATATATATATATATATATATATATATACATATATACACACACACGCACACGCACACGCACACGCACGCCTGACATCAGATGGCCAGAAAATTATATAAAAAAGATATATAATTAACTGAAATGTTGTTTGTGATGCAGAAAGTCCAGAGACGGATTTTTGTACACCACAATTTTATATTCAATTCACTTTAATGTGTGATATGACTAAAAAATAGGGGTTTCACGATTTCGATTATAATCGAAAACGATCGAAATTTATGCTCAATTTCGATTATCGAATCAAAAAATAGAATCGTCGATGCTGCGACGCCCCCCATGTCATGTCAGCTTGGCTTGCCAAGCAAGAAAAAAACAGGCTTGTTGCAGTGCTTGTTAAACTGCAGAAGCAGGAGACCCGTCGACAGAACTTAAACTCTCTCTTTTTTCATGTTGTTATGTTGACAACGTTCGTGTAGTCGACAAAAAAAAAAAAAAAAAACAGTTTTGCAAGCTCTGCTATGTATGTACGTATTACGTATGGTTCGTCCGATAGACAACACCGGCCTCGCAATCCTCCGCCCGCCCCTGTTGCAAATCCGCTCGCGAAAAGTACACACTCAGGCCCTGTTTACAGTCTTTGTTTTTAAATGGCATTTTAGAACGACGACGATTTGACATCCACAGTGGCGTGCAGCATTTCCTGAGCAGCCCTCCTTCCTCTCTACCTCTAAAAATGCACATCACGTGACCACACAGACACAGACGCACTCACAGCCATGCGCTCGAGACAGCAGGTCCAGGCAGTCAGAGGACTGCTTCAATCTTTCACTCACTTGTACTTAGTCATTTTAGCGCACACCTCAGATACTGTTGGCTGGTTCCTGTTGGTTGTGCGTGTTTTTTACCGACGCCATTATAACGACACAGATCACTGCCTATTCACGAGTCCCGCAGAAAAAAAGTGATTGACAGGTGGTAATTATGTGTGTATCTTGCCTTTATTCATTTACTGTATGATTTGTTCATGGGTAAAACAAAGACCATGCAGGTCAGGTAGTTTAAACGGTAGGCTAGAAATAATTAATTGGTCATTAATTAATTAATTATTCATAATCGAAAATCGAATCGAATCGTGCCTTTAGAATCGAAAATGTAATCGAATCGAGGATTTGGAGGATCGTGACACCCTTACTAAAAAGCGATCATAAACATTCTCAATTCAGATGAGCAGCGGCTCAGACCAGGAAACAGTATTCCAGACATCACTAATATATCATGACTTAACAAGCGGACTTGCGTAGTGTCAGTAAAGAGAGAAATAATGAATGCTAATGGCTTTACCACCCACAAAAATTAATTTAACATTTAAATCTCAATATTACTTTTACTGTTTAGTCAAGTAAATGGAACCTTGATAAACAAGAGTCTTAATCTTAAAAACCCACGAATTCTTGTACAAGCAGCTCAGAACAATGCATTTGTTATGTCCAATTTCAAATTTAAAGCATTTCATGTTGTGCTTATGACAACGCATTTTAAACAGTCATTGTTTAAAACGGACTGGACAAAACCTGACCTGAGCACAGCGGCCAACACCACCGTTGTAGCGACGGAAGGGAACACACTGGTGCTTGACGATCACATCCTTCAGGTACTTGTTAGCCTTGCGGATGTGCATGCCCTTGATGGCCTGAGCGGTTTCACGGGTGTTCTGAAGGGAAAAAGTTAAATATTAAATACAGTTATTAAAGAAAAGAAAGAATAAACATAACATTCTAAACTTCACTGGCACTAGGGCTGCTCTACTATTACCATTATGGTCAGAATTGCAATTATATCATTTTAAACAATTATTAGGCAGCCATGTGACCAAAACTTTTATTTAAATGTAGACATACAAATAGCTTATATACAATATATACCTTACAAGCACTCAATTAACACTTATGGCTACTCAACAATGTTCTTTCAAGTGATCATCACAGGACAACCGTGAAGATCTGATTCGTTCTCTCAATGAGAATAAGCTAATTTACTAATAACGGACGACTGAATCTAGGGATGAAATTAATCTCAGTAGAGTTTGAATTGTTTGAATTTTAAATGGAACTTTTTTAAAGATAAATTACTTTAAAGCAGAAACAATTCAGGCTAAACAGTTAAAATAAATAATTGACTTCTGCTCTTTACTGATCCAAAAACACCTCACATATACCTTGGGAACAGTAACGACAGAAACTTTAGAGGTAAGTTTTTAAAACAGCAGTAAACCATAAATGCCTAACCATCCTGGATTAGAAATAATCTCATTTGTACCTTAGACGGAGAAAATAATAACGCTTTTATAGACAAATACGAACCCCATTTACAATTATGAATAACTTGAGCAATTTTTATAATTACCCCAAGCCTTTCTGCCCACTAATCACCCAAACATTAGCATGGCAGTTAGCACGAGCTTCAGGAGTGTCAATGAATGTCATTCTTCACAGTAACTCAAGTGTTCAAGAGAGTTAAATCTTACCTTGAAGTGAACACGAAGGTTGGAGCCCCTCGACTTGCATGCTGTAAAACACAAACACAATTATTTAACCAACACAAAACCATACAGACATATGATTGAAGTAGCGGTTACACACTCACATTTAGTCGGGTTCTCTGGGTCGAGAGAGTAGCGGACCATTTTCAGAGATCTACAGACAAAAAGAAAAAAAGTTAATTACACCTTAAAATAAGACACGGTCATATTAGCATATGTACGACTAGCACTGTAACCGAGCGTATGTTCAGGGTCCGCACGTTAATGTTATAACGTTACTGCACGCGTCGACTCGTGCACATATACTGTCAGCTCCGATAATACTGTTCGTCTGTCTTAATACACGTTGTAACGTTAAATTTGATTCATTCGCTCTTAAGCACATGTATGTGAATACCTCCACGGGCTCTGGAAAATGGCAGAACACTGACGCTCGTCCTTCCAGAAAATATCATCATGATTTATACCTTATATCAATTCATACTCTCTGAGATTATTGTTTATAAGTTTACTAAACGTGTCGATGTGATATTTGGATGTATATGTTTATGATGATGGCGATATTAAATGGATTATTTTAAGCATCGCTGCAGTGGATTCATACTGCCACTTACGTTCTCAGGCCGCGGAAGGGAAGAGGAAGTGAAAGGCATTCTGGGAGAACAAATCCGCTCCGGCTTCTTCGCCCGTAGTAATGAGAGATTTCATAAAGTGTAGCGCCGCACAGTGGAGCAGTGATATCTCAAATATTGATTACACCTGCTTTAAAAAATATACATATAATAAAGTGCACTGTAGGCTTCTTTTAAAGATATATTTTATGAACATATGTCAGATTCACTGATCTATAATATAGTTGATAGTAGATGGATATGATTATCCATCAGATTTGGGTCTGAAAATGTCTTCAAAATATAAACTCACAAGGGAACTTCTATTTATATGCAGAAATTATGGTTAAAAATGATTTCCCTGTAATTCATAAAGTATGTCATACTATGCTTAAGGCTAAACCTAATGGCCTTGCTCATTTACAGTTTTTCTCAGTCACTATGGTCCCTTTCTCAGATCAGTTGAAATTCTTGAAACTCCCTGTTCAATCTTCACATCCCTGTCACTTGTGCACATCAGAAAAAAAAGTGTCTCGTTATGAACAAGTTGCAATTGTATCTGTACATCCATGCAAATGATTATGTGCAATTCTCTGATGTTTTCTACATTGTCAATTGCTTATGTCATGTTGATAAAAACGTATTATTTTGATCTCTGTTGAATGGTCTCATGTTGAATGGTCTCACCCCCACAGCATTTTATATCTTGTTCATGGCATAAGTCTTTATGCAAAATGACTGAACAAGTTGTCCTGTTTTGTCAGAATGCATTTTCTACATTTTCAGTAGACTTTTTTTTTTCTAAATCTGTTAACAATTGGTAAATTTCTCCCAGGTTCCTCTTGACTTTTTTTTAATGGTGTATCTGAAAGGAGATTGTTTTGTTTTTCTTTGTGCTATGCAGTGCTGTCTTTTCCGTTCTGTATCACAATGGCATGATCTGCCAACAAATTACAGTAAAAAGAGCAAAAAACAAACAAACAAAACAAACAAACAAACAAAAAAGGCATATAGTAAATTGCCAAAATTAAGTAATTTGACTGTCTTATCCGTGCAAAATGACAATGACTTGTCATTCTGATGGCATTGATAAGAAATTTAGTTTTCAGCGATGAACTAAGGATTTTGAGCAACATACTGGATTTTGTTGGTAATCCATGGTGTTTTCCTATTTGTATGCAATGTTTTGAGAAATGCACTTACTGTTTTGGAAATTTCAATTCTAATCTGAGAAATGCTCCAGAGTGACTGAGAAAATCTGAAATGAAATGCCACTTGTCATTTAAAGGGATTGGTAAAAAAGAACCAAAGTTTTTAGTTGAAGACCTTAGACTGACCCATTTACGACCTAAAATTTAGTAATAAAATGATAAGAAATGTGTTTCAGTCAAAGAAAAGAATCACTCCAAGGGGAAAATTTCTTTGGAATTCTTTAATCGATAAAATTAATTTGAAAAAAGCTTGGCTCTCAACTTAAAGATTTTGTGTTCCCAACAAAGTTAAAGAAATACATTTAAAAGTGTTCATAATATCTACCCCACATTATATTATGAGATTATATCTAAATTTGGTAATCCTTATTTAAACTGTGTATTCTCTAACACAAGTATCGAATCGATTGATCATCTTTTTGTCAAATGCCCAAATGTTAAAGTGTTTTAGTCTGATTTATTTGTCTTTTTTTTTACATAAAATTGTAAGTTTAACACAGATTTTTCCATGTGTGATATCATTTGTTACTTTTCTTATGAAAAAATAACATAGAATTTTAGGCAATTTATTTACTTTATTGGGTAAATATTATATTCACAAATGTAATTTTTTTTCATTCTTACCTCATTTGCTTAATTCTCTTGGTGACTTAAATTCTTCAATTACTACTTTACTAAATGTTTACAGCAAAAAAAAGTGTAAAAACTGTCAACTTTTAAAAGAACTCATTTTCATTTTCTTGTCGGCTTAGTCCCTTCATTAATCCGGGGTCACCACAGCGGAATGAACCGCCAACTTATCCAGCAAGTTTTTACCCAGCGGATGCCCTTCCAGCTGCAACCCATCTCTGGGAAACATCCACAAGCACATTCACACACACTCATACACTACGGATAATTTACTACCAATTCACCTGTACAGCATGTCTTTGGACTGTGGGGGAAACCGGAGCACCTGGAGGAAACCCACGTGAAGGCAGCGAGAACATGCAAATTCCACACAGAAACGCCAACTGAGCCAAGGGTCGAACCAGCGACCTTCTTGCTGTGAGGCGACAGCATTACCTACTGCGCCACTGCCTCGCCCCTTTTAAAAGAACTTTTAAACATTATTTAAATTGATAGTTTTGCCTCTGTACTCTGTTTTTATCATCATATTTTAGTTTTATATATATATATATATATATATATATATATATATATATATATATATATATATATATATATATATATATATATATACTTGGTGTCATCCATTTTTTATGGTTAATATGATTGTATTGTTAAAACATAAAAAAAATAAAATATAAAATAAATGTTTTGAATGTGTATACATAGGTTATATAATTATTAATATAGCTATTTATTTAAAGATGAAATATAATTGTATCAGGTTATAACTAAAGATAAAACACTAAAACGACGATTATTTATTTAACTTTAAATATTTTGTGTATATATCTATGAGTACAATATAGATAATTGGCAAGCATATACGTTTGATGTTTCATTCTTACATGATTTCACCAATATTTTTATATTTTAATCTCACTAAAGTTCTTTGAAACATAAATATGTTTTCTCTGTGTATAAAACGAGACTATCCATCAGACTTTGGTTTACTGAAACATATAAACGTCTAAAAAATATAAAATAAATTTGTTTTCAATATAAGTCTCGAATCATTTATATGATTATTGGTATAAAAATGTTTAAATAAGGATATAATTTTAAAATAGAATACTGAAAGCTATTATTTATTCAACTTTAAGTCTTTCGTGACAGGACTTTGAAAATGACGTTGCTCATCTTTCACCACTAGAGGGCAGAACAGGACAAACTTCAATGCTAAATGCTTCATTTTTGAATCACATTTTCTAGTGCTTTCCCTGAGATGGGTTGCGGCTGGAAGGGCATCAGCTGCGTAATAACTTGCTGGATAAGTTGGCGGTTCATTCCCCTGTGGCGACCCCGGATTAAATAAAGGGACAAAGCCGACAAGATAATGAATGAATGAATTAATTAATTTTCTAGTGCTTTAATTTGATTTTACATTAAACAAATGTCTATTTCAAAGAAAATAAAAAGTAAGTAATCGTTTATGATAGTCAAAATTCTGATTATTCTTGTATTATTATTATTATTATTATTATTATTATTAATTGTTAATATAAAGTTTATATAATAGTTATTTATTTAAATTGCATGATTCAATGATTATCATATTTATTCATTAGTTTGCATTAATTATTCTATAATTATAAGACTATTTTAATCTAATTTGTATGCATTTGACTTTTTTTATGATAGATAGATGGACGGACGGACGGACGGACGGACGGAGACAGACAGACAGACAGACAGACAGACAGACAGACAGACAGATAGATAGATAGATAGATAGATAGATAGATAGATAGATAGATAGATAGATAGATAGATAGATAGATAGATAGATACAGTAGATAGATACAGTAGATAGATAGATAGATAGATAGATAGATAGATAGATAGATAGATAGATAGATAGATAGATAGATAGATAGATAGATAGATAGATAGATAGATAGATAGATAGATAGATAGATAGATAGAACTTAATATTATTGCTTTCTTTCAGAAAATGCTATGCTAAAGTGGTATTGTCTGTCTAATTGCATTTTCTGATTGGATTGTAAATAGCTTTCTATTTTACTTATTTACAGCTGTGTGAAATGATGTAAAAAGAGAAGTGCATTGATTAAATTGCATGATTAAATTGTTATCATATTTATTCATTAGTTTGCATTCATTATTTTATAATTATTAGATTATTTTTATCAATTTGAATGCATTTGTTTTATTTGCATTTGCTTTAATAAACACTGTGATTATTGTCTTATTTTTCTTAAATTATAAAATGTTTACCTAATAATATTTTGTACTAATTATCAATATTTGATCATTTATTTTGACCTTTTTATTTTAATTGACTTCTAATTTGAATAATTTTTTACTAAGTTTATTTTCTTTTTGAATCTAACTGATAGCTCCTTTTTTAGCCTTTTAATAGTTTGAATTTTTACATTTAGTTATAAATGTTACTTGTAATCAAATTTAATTGGATATGTTCAATTTTATTAACTTAAAATCCTAGATTAATCATAATTTGTATTCATTAATGTATAATGTATCATTGTACAATTTAGTTAGTATTTATATATTTATTTAATTGTAATGTGCTGAATACATTTACATTCTATTTTTATTAATTCGGTTATTTTATTTAATTAAAAAATTTCTGACTTTCTTCATGGCCCAAATAAGCAAAGAATATTAAAAGAGACTTAATTGTTCATTTATCTCATCATAAATCTGCACATTGACAAAGTAATCTGTGAAAATGAGACTACAGCAACCACTGTATTGCATCAGTAAGATCCTTTATTTGGCACAGAGCAGAGAGCACTAATGCAAGAGATCAGAAAACATATGAGATGTGTAGCTAAAATCAAAAACTGCAACCACATTTCCTGTCAAGAGGAATAATGTAAGCTCTGCTTTTCCTCAGTGTGTGAAATGAATCCCACTGCTGCATCAGTCAGACAGACGCAGGCTATGGCAAGCCATTTTAACATTTAATATATAAACTCTCTCTCATGCAATAAGCACTTTTTAGATTATACAAATATTAGATTATTTACCATTAAATACTAGTACTTATCAGCTAGTGCTCAATCTTTAAAGAATAGTGCATATCTTTATGGATTTAAAAGAAAGATGCCAAAACTTCTTTGTGAAA